CCCCCGCCCCCCCCCCCCCCCACGCATCACCGCCACTGCTAAGAAGAGTATTTCATTGAATGAAGGCCCTGCATTTATTGTACATTGGGCCAAGTAACTTAAAAGATTTTCAAATGCAATATATTACTTTTACACGGCAACCTTTTTTATCAAATCAAACATACTCTTAATGGATTTCTGAACCATGATTGTTTGAAGAATAAAGAATATTATTTACAAATAATTTGGTTTTAGTAGGTAATATTATATATGTGGTTCACAATCGTCATAATTATCTTTTCCTCATTTGCTAAGTACATGTAAAGCTGAAACATATAAACCTGTTGAGGGATGCCATGATGTTGTTCCTGGCATCTTTCTGATTCAAGTGTTTACATATGCCAGAAAACAAAAGATTTAGTGGAGAAATGCCATGTTGTTCCTGGCATAGATCTCATTCAAGTGCTTACTCATGTCAGGAAACTGTGAAGATACTTGAATTGATACTTTCTAATCTCCCCATTTTTTTGTTTGTATAAATTTGTTAAAAATTGTACATGCCTCATTATTCAATTTAAGTTTGAGAAGGTTTGAAACTTACTTGAAGGTTCTTGTTCTATAAATGAAGATGTAGTGATCATTTATGAGGATGAAGAAATTTGAATCGCATTGCAAACAATTTTGGTCGGATATGAAGCATTAAAGTTTTTTTTTTTTTTGGTAAATCAAATGCTTGAATTGCAAGACGAATCAAATTTTTTATTCTGGGTATTTCAAGATTAGAATCCAAACCATCAGGCTTCTCGGTTCTTCATATATTTATGTATGCATTTAGTTGAACAAGTTATCTGCCACCACCGAACTTTTTTCACGCCAATTAGCAGTTTCATCCTTTATTTGTTTTGATAAATGGCGGTGTTTAATTTTGAACTCTCAATTCTTTTCATGCAATTTGTACAAATAACTTATTGCATTTACTTTGCAAATAATTTATCTAAAATAAATTGTGACTATTGCATTTGGTAAAACCGTTTGTGCTCTTTGGGTGCGCAGCACTAGAATTTCCTTCTCTCTAGGCTCTATATGGGTGCCTTCCTATTGGTTTTTGTATATTCTTATGAAGGTGAAATGGATCCATGACCTAGAACTCTGAGGTAATAGAATAAACTCATGATTTTCTATTTAAGGCAACCAATTTTAAAATTCATTCTGCAGAAGGTAAATCTTAAACTAGGGTATTTCCCTGAAATACAATATCTCTGAAATAGTTACTTGTAATTAAATATATCAATGTAAGTGTGTTTATTTTTTGCTCACATTTATTTAATTAGTTTATGAAAAGGTAACATTTTCAATATTATTCTATAGAATAAGAATAAGAATCACAGGCAGTTCCCCTCTATGATAAGTTGTAATCTGTGCAATAAGCGTCATGATAAGTAAATAGAAACTAATAGCCCAAAATTACAAGTTACACAACTGTACAAAATTCTTAAGGTAGACTATTATACAGGTAGAGTAGAGAAGGGCAGTGACAGATGAACTAGGTTAATATAACCGATTGATTTACTTTCCTGCATGATGGATGTCAAATTTAATTGATAGAACCCATAAATAAAAAGAATATTGAGCTAAAAACTATTAAATTTTTTAAAAGAAGATATTCAGCTAAAAACTATCAATTTTTTGTAAACTGAACATATTTATGCTTATATTTTTTTGCATGTATTGCTGAAAGGCTGGAATGCAAAGGAGCAACTTTTAGCATTTTAGCAACGCTACCCCATTAGAGCAACGCTACCCCATTAGAAAAAAAAAAAAACTCATTTTAGTATGAGCCATTTTAGTTGGTAGCTGGTAATAATTAAATTTTTTTTACATGTTTATTGTATCATTTATTTTAGTTCTATTTCAATGCGTAGAACTTTTTTGAAAAATGGTTATATCCTGCGATTGCAGGGTTTAGAGAGGGGTTGGTTTTGCAACTTTTCCCTTGCATTATAGAGAGGCTTTTGCTTTTACTCGAATCTGTTAACTCTAGGTTACAATGAAAGCAACCGACTACTGCTCCAATTCCACCCTCTAGAAGCTTTTATTATAGAGGATATTTAATATGTGATTTTTGTATTTTAGATATCTAGAACACCTTTAGCAGTTTTTTTCCCCTCTTGAATCAGTCTCAATATTTGAATTTGGCTTTGGAGCATGTTAAGTTTTTATGTTGCAGTGATGATAATTTTGATGTTTTTTTTTGTATTTCGACAATGTTTTTAATATAGTACGAGCTTGATTCATCAATTTTATCATTTCCATTTCACTTTGTTTGCTTCATGCATTTCCTAATTTTGAAAAAAGGGAAACTATGGAATATGATGCATTGCATATTATTATAATATATGCGGTATTTATCTTGCCACATTACTTGAAATTATTGTTTTCCTGCAATTCTCTTTTATTATACTTTGTTTTGTCTCAGAAATAAAGGAAGATGAAGCTGAAGATAAGCTACAGGATGTAATTCGGGAAAGGTTTTCTTCATTTGGTGATGTATGCATCATCTGCAAATCAAGAAATTGTTAGTTCAAATTTATGTTTTTGACAAAGCATGTTTTTTGATTAATCATTTATATTTTCAATCGTTATGCTACGAACTTTGCTTGCTTTGCTTGGAGTAAGAATTACTTGCCATTTATTTGCTTTGTTATGCTGATTTCAAGTAATGTTTGCTGCATAAATGCTGCTATTTTGAGACTGAAAAATTTTTATTTAATTGTCCTACTTTTCTTATTGATTCTTTTTGAACATTTCTGATCTCCTTTTGAAGTGTTTTGAAAGTTTTTGACATAAAGCTTTTTATGACAGAACTTGTTTTATGCACTATTAAGAACATGGGCATAGGCCCCTTTTTCATTTTCGATTTTCACTTTGTTTTTTATTTGCTTTCCTACGACATGAATTGCTTGATTTTATAGTATATGACATGATGTAGCCTTGGGCTCTGTTTGGGGCAGCTGCAACTTATTAAGAAGCTGCTGATGAATAATCTGATATTGTAAAAAGCTGCGGTGACTATTACAATTTTTTTTTTGTTTGAAAAAGTCAGATCGCGGCTAGGAAGGCTCCCACAACACCTAGCTAGAAGCGGTGGGAAAATGCTGGTTTCAGCGGCAGTTTTTTCAAGAAGCTGCCAAAATGCAGTTTAGCCAAATGACCAAAACATGGGTGCGGTACCGCACCATCGCCGCACCACTGCGCCAAACGGAGCCTTAGTCTTCATCCAGAATTGGATGAGTTCAAGGTGACAAGAGTCTTCTTATGTAGCTCATTTTCTGTCTGGACTTCTGACGTAGCTCTACGTGCGGCGGAAGTTATTTCTGGGTTATTTTCAATAATCCTGAAATAACTCAAAAATAACCCGTGGTCTTTATTTTTGGGTTATTTCGAAATAACTCAGAAATAACCTGAAAATAACTCAGGAATAACCTCCGCGACACGTAGAGTTACGTCTGGAGTTCGCACAGAAAAATTAGGCCTTCTTATGTGAACCTTATGGATCTTTGAGGACCTCAAATTATCAGCCTTGGAATCTTACTGGCCTTAGACATGTAGCTTATACGTCATGTGTTCTTTATCCCAATGCGTAGCATGTAAAGCTTGTTACCTTTTAGTACAAGTCTTAATGAGGATGGAGAAGATGGCTGATGTGGATAAGTAAAAACTAATGTTGTTAGAAGATGCTTAGAGAATGTGTTAAATAAGCAAGAATGAACATATGCAGTTTTAAAGGGAATTAATATCGACTGGTTCATGAAGCTAATTTAGAAATAGTTTGCACAATGCTACTGCTAACGGTGTTATGCCACAAGTTTGTTATAAGATCAAAAGTTGTTCCAAGAGTCCTTTATGTTCAAATAGTCAGATTTCGTACTCTGTGATAAATGGAAGTAATCTGAGTCAAACAAGTTCCTCCGGCCTTCTGATAATAAGGTGTCCATCGCGGTCTCTATGGTGATCCACATTGGATGGCCTATGCTTGAACTATTCATTGCAAGTTGGGATAAATATAGTGATGATGATGTGGATTCAATCATTAATAGCTTTAATCATTGGGGGGCTCATATTGGGTCATATTTATTTCCAGTCACATAGCTTAATTATTTCATTGACAGTCTTGGTTCGACATTTAATATCTGCTCCAAACCTTTTAGTCTTGTCTGGCATTATAAAAATTTCTGATGCTCTTAAGAGGAACCAATCGTTCTTTTATAAAAATGATATAATGGTGTTGCCAAACACAAAATTTCATCTAGCTGGACAATTTAGAGTGCATGCCTTGTTAGTTTTAATTTTAGTGTAATAACAGAAGCAGTCAGATGAGTTTCTTGTGAAAGATATCTATCGTTTTAGGGCTTTAAAAAGTTAGGAAATTTACATACATGCCACGCAAATCTAATTTATTTACATATCTGCCACCTATACTTTCATATTTTTTTTATTAACACTTTGATGCCATAAACTTATGCATGAAAATGTGTATTTCACTTTTAAAAAGTACGTAATAGCTGTATTTTTGATTTGGTGTTAAAGGTTTGAGTGTTATGCATGTAAATATTAAAGTATAGGTGTTAGATATGTAAATACATTGAGAATTGTGTGGTATGTATGTACATGCACCTAAAAATTTTTCATTCCCATTGAAAGTATAACCTAATATATAAGGATATATATATGTATGAATGTATGTATGTTTGTTTGTATGTTTGTGTATATATATCTATATATATATATATATATATAGAAAAAACCCGAGGGCAAATATATTAATACGAAAAAGATACAGAAATGTTGTATGAGAAGACCTAAAAGAAAGCCGAACTCATACAATACAAAACTTAGATAAAACAAAGATATAAAAAGGTTGAAAAACAAAAATCCACAAAAGGGCACAAAAATGCTAGGGACGTCCCACTTTAGTCCTCCTGTCTCTATTTCTCGAAAGTGAGCCGACTAACAAATTGGCAAAGTGTGTACCATTGCCCGTAGTAACCAAAGTATCATCCATCAAATTCCTGTACTCAAGTAGATTTTCATTCTTCTTTTTCCTCCTCGATGTATAGACCTGTCATTTCTCATCTGATTAGTATATTCCAAAGGTAGTCAGATAGGTGTAGGTCGTTGCATGTCTTGATCCCCAGGAGCCTGAGTAATATTAACATCTTTCTGGACCTGATGAGGCGGTTGTGAAGCAGTAGAAATATTTCCACCTGTATTATCAGTGATAGGTTCTAGGGCAAGCGGAGTTTGAAGAAACTCCCTCTCCTCCACGATAGGAGGTTCAAAATCTAGGGCAAGCAGAGTTTGAAGAAATTCCCTCTCCTCCACGATAGGAGGTTCCAAAGACGAGGGAGCTACAACTAGGGATTGAATGGTTGCCATATTGCCTGCCTGATCAGGAGGAGATGGAATCACAACCTCTAGCGGAACAGTTTACTTTTTTGGTCTGAGTTGGGGGTGTAAATGGTGATATTGAGAATTGGAGTGTCCGAACATACGACAATTCGAACAATATGATGGAAAATGTTCAATCTCTACTTTCTGCCAATATTCATGGTGTTGTGTGCCCAACCAGATTTTCTCAGAAGCGAGTGAAATGATGTCTCTTTCAACAAGTATTCTAGCTTCAGAAGGACGGGACATATTAAAAGTAGAAATGTCCGTCTTGAGTGGCTTCCCATAAGTTGAGGCAATAAAGTACAATACTTTTTGAGAAAAAAAAAAAAATTTCAGAAAACCGAAATGATTGGCGGTTCCGTCTGTGGGTCAAAATCCACAGACAATTTCAGAATCTTCATTGCTCTGTTATGAATCCATATTATCCTTCTAGCAAATAATCGCATTTAATCTTTTTTATTGCTAATTTGAATAAGAATGTGTCTCCCATCTAATAATCCAATTTTCCATTCCCCAGCAAGGTGCATAAGTTCAAATTCTTTGCGAATGAGTTCCATTTTGGGATGACCCTATAGAAATTTCCCAATCAAATTCAGACGACAGAAGGAAACAATTTGAATACCTTCAGCTTCTGTAAAATAGATGGTAGGCTTCCCATTCTTCTTACCAGGTTTCTTGATATTCTCCGCCCACTCAAACGAAAGAAGGAAAGACGATGATTTTGGTGTGCCTGAAGTGTGGACACCGGCAAGGGCAGCTGCATACAATTTGTCTGAAGCCATCCTCAAGGATAGGTGCGATGTTTAAAGAAGAAAGCAGACATGAAAAAAAAAACGCGTCCAAATAGCCAAACGATTCATTGAGACCGAGCGCAGTCGTGATCGCGAGCGGCGAGACTTGTCGCAGAGGAAAAATCAAGCGCAGAACTGCGAGACGGGCCGTAGAGGAAGAATCGAGCGCAGAATGGGAGACGAGCCTTGTTTCAGAGGAACGGGGGAGACGAAGAGCGCGAAGACGCCGAGAGGAAACACGCGAGTGAGAGAGAGAGCGAAGCCGTAAACTGTTGCTAGGGTTCGCCATCGGGCAAAACCCTAGCAGAGCCGAGCGAGTAAGACGACGCCATCAGACATTATATATATATATTGAAAAGCCCAAGGGCTAAATTTATTAAAATAGGAAATATACATAAAAGTTGTATGAGAGGGCCCAATAGAGGCACCCTATTCATACGATACAACACACACAAACATCCCAAAAGAGAAAAGATATAGGGAAACCCAAAAAAAAAAAGTACCAAAATCGCAGAAAAGAGTAGTGACGAGCCAGTTTAGTCCTGTCTCTGCCTCTAGCTCTAGGGCGAGATCCAGATAACAAATTGTTGAGTGCCGAGACATTTCCCAAATTAACCAAAGTTTCGTCCATTAGGTTCCCAAGCTGAAGTTTGCTTCCAATCTTCTTATTCCTCCTTGAATAGATTTGTCATTCCTCCTCAGAAGACTGACTCATTTGATCATCGTGTTGGTAAATAGAACGCCAGACAGATAAAAGTTGATGAGCACCAGAAGATGGATTGTCAACTATTGCAACGATTGTAGGTTCAAGTGTGTGTGAAACATGAAATGTCTCCTCTTCATTTAATGCTTCCTGCAGCTGAGGAGGGTTTGAAATTGTAGGTTGTTCAACAGGGTCATCTAGCTTCTCATCGATCGCAGAAATAGTATTTTCAGAGGGAGGATCCACAGGGGCGATTAGCTTAGACACCATAACCTGTTTTGTGGTAGTCCTGCACCTCCCCCTCGTTGCTACCCGCATCTCGTGGCTGCCATCATCCCTTACGATTGCCCCTATCCCTCTAGCAAACCTACGCCACCCAGTGGAATACATTTTAGAGGTTTTTACTTGTGCCGTGTATGTTTTGTGTTGTTATTTTCTGTTGAGCTGTGTTGTAATCCTATTTTTTATTAATAAAAATTACTTTTGTGTATACACTATATTTCTTATTAGTTCCGGAATCATTCTTTTAAGTGTCTAACCATCGGATCTCAATGTTTTCTTAATTACACAAAAATTGGATCCTTCCATCATAACTAGTTTTTTTTTGGTTTTATAATGTTGCTTCTAAGTATCCTCTATTTTTTTAATATTCGATAGTACTCCATGACACTTCCCATCAGAACATGGATTGCATCAGATAACTAACTTTAAAGCGGTTCTTTTTTGTAGATGTGATCCTTTTAGTAATTTGTTGTACATTTGTCTTTCTCAATTATTTCATTTACCTACAGACTAGCTTTTTCTTTTGTTGTAAAATAATTAACTTTTGCCTGGCAAATTCTTTTTATTTATTTCTGTCGACCTCCTTTGATTTGCAGACTGCTTGGTTAATTTTATGTATTTTTGAACATTCCTGTAGGACCACCATGCCATTGATATTCTTGTAGCAGAGATTGATATTTATGAACTCTTTTCATTTAGACATTGCAAAGGGAGAAGGACAAAGCTTGCGCTCTGTGAAGGTATGCTTCTTTCTTTTTGGATGCTTTTCACTTCTTTTAAGAATCCTTTCAGTCCATTATTTCATTTAGAGAAGTACCACCACATCAAAGTTAGATCTATTAATGCCATCTTTTGAAAAAAAGTTATGGTAGTCTTCTTTTGAGCTTTGACCTTTTGCTTCTTAATTGTTCTTAGACTTGCGTTTTTTTTAATATTTATGTGTTGGTTGTGGCCTTGAGGAAGGGGCATGGAAGGCAGGAAAGTTGGTGTCCACAAAATTAATTTAAAAGAATTTTTATGCATTAATGATACTATAAACAAATTCATGACTCGTTAAATAAAAACATTTAGAAAACTACAATTTCACTTGGTAGTGAGCACTTTGGCTCGTGGCTACTTTTGCTTATAACATCTTCATAATTTATTTATTGCAATTCAGAGCTTGAAGAAAGGATGCATGATCTGAAAAATGAACTGGAAGGATACAATAGCGATGGCTCTGATGAAAGCCAGAAAAGGAAGGCTCTTGATGCATTGAAGCGGATGGAGAAATGGAACTTGTTCAGAGATACTCCCGAGGTTTACGTTTGTATACCTGTCTTTAGCTTATATCTAAAGGCATCACTGATTTCATGATAGAATTACTTTTATGTTCAAGCTTGGGATATTTAAGATAGCTTTTGGTTGTTTCTGTTGACGTCGTTGTAATTGTTTTCCCTTTGCAGGAATTTCAAAGCTATACAGTTGCACATGATACATTTCTAGCTCATCTGGGTGCTACATTGTGGGGTTTTATGAGACGTGTTGTTGCACCGTCAATGGCTGATGGGGCATACCATTACTATGACAAAATATCATTTCAGATGTATTTCATCTCACATTGAGGTTGAAGGCCTAAGGATTGTTTTTTTTCTTTTTTTTTTTTTTTTTTTTTTTTGGGTTTTTGAGTCGCTGTGTTTCTTCCACACTGCTATTTTTTTCACAGAAAGTGAGAAATATGAAGAAGCTACCTGTAAACCTGAAGGCACTTACGGATGGTCTTTCTTCTTTGGCTGTTGCTTTTCAAAAGGTCATGTTTAGCCAACACCTGTAAGCATTCTTTATCTGCTGTTTCTAATTTTTATTTCACTAAAAACCGCATGGATTTTTTTCAATAGCCGATACTCTTAAGATCCTATATTGGAGTTCTAAAAATAGTTGATATGGTTTACCCAGCATTCCCTAATAATTATCGACTTCAATGACCATAAATTCTAGGCTGGCACTTTCGGAAGATCCAGAACTTACTATGGCCTTTTCAGTTGCTCGACGTGCTGCTGCAGTTCCACTTCTGCTAGTTAATGGAACGTATAGATTGACCACCCATGCCTATTTTGATTCCTCCATTTTGCAACGGCAGTTACAGAAACTTAGTGATCATGGTTCTCTAAAAGGTAATTTTCTTTCATTGCTGTTGACTTATCCTTACAATTATCTTAATTATCTCAGCAATGAAATCTTATTTTATTGTACTTGGTCTGTGGAGGTTCCTTGCTCTTATTTCAGTACTCTTTTATGGTTAAATTAGCAAGAGGTATTAAATCTGGAATACTAACCTAACAAAGGGGCATTACTCTATCGGATGACTGTTTTTTAGGCCCATAAGCACACCTAAGGGGAGGTCAATGTTCGCCAAAGCGAAAATAATATTATTTTTTAATTTGTTAAGAAATAAATCAAATTTTATTGGAAATAATCGGGTGATTTCATATGAATGAGAGGCCGTTTCTTGAGTCCTTCGTTAAAATACGAAACCTAAAATACTTTACGCTGATAAATAGGCATGCATATTGAATGTTTTGCTAAGTTTTAGAAAACCTTTTACACAACGCTAATTGCTAAAGGCATTGTTGACTTCAATATTTTGAGCTACAATTTGTTGGAGTGCACCATAGTGTGTGCTGGTTGACCAGATTTGTAGTCCGAATAGTTGCTCCATGTTGACATCCTTTGAAATAACTGTGGAATGATGCGCCGTTGCATATAGTTATCTTGAAATTATGCATGCATATGGTCATGATGATGGTTGTTTACTAAGGGCCTTTTTGGCAGCACTTTTATTTTGTTTTTGTCTTTTTTTTTTTCTTTCTTTTGTTTTTTAAAACATGTTTGGATAGTATAAGTTTTGTATGTTTTTATTTTTATTTTTAAAATCAAGCCACATTGTTTTTAAATACACTTAAAACACCAAAAAGTTATTTTGAGTATTTTTAATAACAACCGCCGTAACCAAACATGTTGTAATTAAAATCAAGCATAAAAAAAATTTAAAAAAAAAACAAAAGAAAAAGGTGATCCCAAATGAGGCCTAAGCAAATCTCCATCAGAGGGATTTTTCAAATTCAAAGCTTTCTTTCCATTAGCTAGTCGGTTCCCCACTATTTGCTCTAAGGCGTGAGCTCGAATCTTTTTTTCCCCTAACTGTGGAATTACGCTCATTATTATTTACTTTAATTCTATTTAGTGCATGCTATATTTAGTCATAGCATAAAAAGGGTAATTTCTTAATTGTAGGTATTTATGTTTATTCCATAATTATAAGAATTACTTAATTGTAGGAAGATTTCTTTCCTCTTTTTTATCTCTTGTACTCGCCTATTTATAGGTGAATTATCTATGTATTCAGTGAGAAAAAGGATTATTCAAAATTCACATGGTATCAGAGCTATCAAAGGGAAGCCTCTCCCGCTCGGCTCGATCACGACCATTCTCTCCCGCGATCGTCCTTGACCGAGCGTTGCCCTAGTTTGCGTTTGCCCGATCGTCCGCATCCGAGCGCCGCTCCTTGTCCAAATGACCGATCGCGCCTCTCTCCGATCGTCCGCGTCCGCGTCCGATCGTCCGTGCTTTTCCGTGATCGTCCGTGCTTCTCCTATTGTGCTTCTCCCGCGCCAACTCTTCTTCCGCGACCGAGCATAGCCAGTTCCAGCCGTGCTCAATGGCTAAGTACGACCATGCCGCAACTCGATTCCTCCTCCACTAGTGATGTCACTTCTAGCCATCCCTCCGCAGCTGGGTCTCCATTGCCCAGCAATTCAGACAGTAATTCTGTCCTCATCACCAGCCACAAACTCACCGGCCTGAATTACCTCCAATGGTCGCAGTCAGTCATGATGTTTGTATGCGGCAAAGGCAAAGATGACTACCTCACTGGTGATGCTCCAGCTCCGATGACGACAGATCCGTCATATAAAACTTGGAAATCCGAGAATAATATGGTTATGACCTGACTTGTTAACTCGATGACACTTGATATTGACAAAAATTTTCTTCTCTATGACACGACTAAGGAAATCTGGGATGCTGCCCGTGAGACCTATTCTAGTGCGGACAATACAAACGAACTATTTGCTGTTGAGACCATTCTTCATGACTTTCGTCAATGTGATCTCTCCGTCACTCAATACTTCAATACTCTTACTCGGTATTGACAGCAATTAGATCTATTCGAGGTGTACCATTAATTCTGTCCTCATCACCAGCCACAAACTCACCGACCAAAATTACCTCCAATGGTCGCAGTCAGTCATGATGTTTGTATGCGGCAAATGCAAAGATGACTACCTCACTGGTGATGCTCCAGCTCCAATGACGATAGATCGGTCATACAAGACTTGAAAATCCGATAATAATATGGTTATGGCCTGGCTTGTTAACTCGATGGCACTTGATATTGGCGAAAATTTTCTTCTCTATGGCACAGCTAAGGAAATCTGGGATGTTGCCCGTGAGACTTATTCTAGTTTGGACAATACAAGCGAACTATTTGCTGTTGAGACCATTCTTCATGACTTTCGTCAATGTGATCTCTCCGTCACTCAATACTTCAATACTCAATTAGATCTATTCGTGGCGTACCATTGGAAGTGTCCTGAAGACTGTCATATTTCGCCAAATCATAGAACATAAATGCACCTTCAAATTTCTTCTCGGCCTCAAATCTGAGTTTGACCAGACTCGCTCATGGATTTTGAATTCGAAACCTCTTCCAACAATTCGTGAAGCTTTCTCCGATATACGCCGCGAAGAGAGTCGCTAAAAGGTCATGTTAGGTGCTTCCTTGTCCACTACAGCCCTCGACGGGTCTGCACTTGTTGCTCATATTCCATCCACAGACAATCGCCAACGCCTGGGCCGCCCTTGGTGTGACCGCTGCCGCCGTTCTGGCCATACTCTGGATACGTGTTTGCGGATTCATGACAAACCCGCCAAAGGGAAACCCAAACGAGATCATC